TATAATGTAAACACAAGTCAACTACTGATGCTGTCAAGTTATGTTCACAAAATGACACAAAATCACAAATACAAGAGTATTTCAAGCTGTCTATAATGTATGTATTTGACGTCTACTTGTCTCTAATGCCATCTACAGAAAAGCTGTATATATGTCTATACATAATATATATTACTACTACATTTAATATATAGGGGGAGTTCACGTAACTTCGGATGGCACCTGGTGAAAGCCACTCATATATTTCAAAAATAATAATCAAAAACGTGTGAAAGGGGTGCAGGGTCATACGATCCAGTTTATCAGTGAAGCTCAAGGCAACATCAGGAGATTCAGATAAGTGTTATAGCTACATTTCTGAGTTTAAGTCTCAATGGTATTTGTTCATTTATAAAGTTCATAATTTCGTTGTATATGAATTTTTTTGTTAATTTTCAAAACAGATTAGGTATAGATCACATTGTGTTGGTATTATCSTGTCTCCTARTACAGAACTTAAATAGTCTCTTAAYRCCGGACAGTGAARACTACRTTSAAAATWGCAAAAGAAAAGTACAAGCAACAAACTAAAGACGTGAAAGCCAWAGGAAGATGTGAAGTAAAGAAGAAACAAACCAAAGGAGTAAAAGATAAGGGAAAAAGTGGATATAGAGATAAGAAAAAGCAACTACTGATTGAGATATCTGAAATTGAAAGAACTACTGGCGTAGTTTGCTTAGCGGACTATGACGAAAACTTTATACAGTGCTCCAGTTGCCATAGATAGGCTCATGAAACATGTGYAGACATTCCTGAATTTTCAGACCTCTACATATGTGATCAATGCACCTACTACGACATATATCGTGATTTCTTCAAATCCCTTTCACACACGCTAAATGTAAATGAGCAGTAAATTGTTTTGTAATTGTTGTAATTAACAAATGTTTTGAATCTCATAAATTATGTTTCTGAAGTGTTTTAGAGATATGTAAAATAAATTGAGNAGTTTATACCACACACAACATGTACTTAAGGATATAATATCCTATATATATATAACTATTAGGTATAAAACTTTGCTTACGCCCTTTTTCTTTTAATTGGTTTTGTTTTACCGGACTGTTTATTCGCTTATTAACTGTAGCTAAGCCTAATCCCAATTGTTCTGTCAACTTCCTTTGAGTTATATCCGGGTTTTCATTCATCAAACGCACTAATTCTTTATCTTCCCTTTCTCTACGTGGTGTTTTTAAAGTAGATCTTTCTAAGTTGAAATCATCTTTCTTTAAGCTTTTATAGCACACATATATATATATATATACACACACATCAATTATATATCATTTTTCCAATCATTAAACTTCATTTCTTTAATTTTACAATTTTTTCATAAAAATAAATAGAAGAAAAAAATATATATATACATAACTATTAGGAATAAAACTTTGCTTACGCCCTTTTTCTTTTAATTTGTTTTGTATTTCCAGACTGTTTAAACGCCTATTAACTGTAGCTCTGCTGAATCCCAATTGTTCTGCCAACTTCCTTGGAGTTATATCCGGGTTTTCATGGATCAAACGCACTAATTCTTTATCTTCCTTTTCTCTTCGTGGTGTTTTTGAAGTAGATCTTTCTAAGTTGAAATCATCTTTCTTAAAGCGTTTATACCACACACAACATGTACTTAAAGATATAATATCCTATATATATACACATCAATTATATGTCATTTTTCCAATCATTAAACTTCATTTCTTTAATTTTACAATTTTTTCATAAAAATAAATAGAAAAAAAAATATATATACATAGCTATTAGGAATAAAACTTTGCTTACGCCCTTTTTCTTTTAATTTGTTTTGTATTTCCAGACTTTTTAGGCGATTTGAAACTGTAGATTGGCATAATCCCAATTGTTTTGCCAACTTCCTTTGAGATATATCCGGGTTTTCATGGATCAAACGCACTAATTCTTTATCTTCCCATTCTCTACGTGGATTTCTTGAAGTAATTTTTTCTAACTTCAAATCACCTATACGGAAGCGTTTATACCACACACATGTACTTAATGATATAATATCCTATATATATATATATATAACTATTAGGCATAGAACTTTGCTTACGCCCTGTTTCTTTTAATTTGTCGTTAAATTCCTGACTGTTTACGAGTGCAGAAACTTTAGATTGGCTTATTCCATATTTTCCTGCTATCTCTGCTTGAGTAATACCCGGGTCTTCAAGCATCCAACGCAGTAATTCTTCAATTTCTTGTTCTCTAGTTATTAGTGGTCTTGAAGTAGGTTTGTCTAAGTTGAAATCACCTTTTTCGAAGCTTTGATACCAATTAGAACATGTTCCACGGGATATAATACCGTTGCCATAAGCGTATAAAAGCATTCGGTGAGCCTCACTGGAAGATTTTCTATTATTAAAATAATAAAGTATCACCTCTCGCAAATGACGAGTAGTCGGTTTATAATTTGACATTTCTAATTTGAAATAGTTCTATATAATGTAAACACAAGTCAACTACTGATGCTGTCAAGTTATGTTCACAAAATGACACAAAATCACAAATACAAGAGTATTTCAAGCTGTCTATATTGTATGTATTTGACGTCTACTTGTCTCTAATGCCATCTACAGAAAAGCTGTATATATGTCTATACGTAATATATATTACTACTACATTTAATATATAGGGGGAGTTCACGTAACGTCGGATGGCACCTAGTGAAAGCCACTCATATATCTCAAAAATAATAATTAATAATGGGTGAATGGGGTACAGGGTCATACGATCCAGTTTATCAGTGAAGCTTAAGGCAACGTCAGGAGATTCAGATAAGTGTTATAGCTACATTTCTGAGTTTAAGTCTCTATGGTATTTGTTCATTTATAAAGTTCATAATTTCGTTGTAATTTCTTTGTAATTCAACCTCAAATATAACAATAAATAATTAAAATATCTAATTTATTTATTTTTTATTATTGTTTGCAATTTTTATTGTTAGTTTTACTATGCAAACGTTTATTTGTAACACCTGATTGATACAAAATCAGTTGGACATGTTTGAAAATGTGGATAGAAAATTAATGTTAATATTTTATAAAGGAATCGTTGTTGGTATTTTTCAACAGACATCTAACCCAATCAAATTGTATTTGTAAAGAAGATATGTTGATACCTAACAACACATACAAATATTTGAAAAGGAAGAGTAGAAAGTAAAAAAAAGAAAAAAGAGAGAGAAAAATGTGTGTAGCATATCAAGCAACCAACCTGAAGTATTTGATGTAACATTGGATCGATGCAGAGTCGTTACCGGTTTTTTTTTTGTTTTTTTTTTTTTTTGAATTTCTTTGATCCTTCCTCATCGTAGAAGCTTTTCGAGACGTCAAAGTTGAGATTTCTTTTACGGTTTGATGATAAGAAATATGAACGTTGAGATATGATGTAACCTGACGATCAATTAAATTGTTTTTAATGTTAAACTTGTTTTTTTTTTTTTTTTTTGACACGTCAGGGAAAAAATCAGAAAGTGTAATTTGATTTTTGTTTCTTTTTGTTTAATTTTTTTTTGTTTTTATTCTTTAATTATTGTTGTTCTTTTCTTTTTTAATTTCTTTGTTTTTTAGTCTTTCCTTTGTCCACTGACATGGAAATGAAGTTACGTCATAGCTTGATATTGCATTTTAAAAGGTAAATACGTAACTCGCAATAAAGTTACACGACAAATTTACACGATGACCTTTTTACAGGAAATAGGATAAAGTTGCCCTTTCATTCATTGCCCTAGTATTCAATACTAAAGTACCTTTCCTTTACGATGGCACGTTTCTGACCACACCTACCTATCAATATTATATTTTCTCTAGAAAACTGTTTTAGAAATAGAGAACTAAATAAATACAAAAAAAAAAAAAAAAAAGATTTAATCGGATCTATCGTAAAAAAGAAAAAAAAAAAAAGAAATAGAAATCACTATTAAGAAAAATTCGATTAAATGTTATAAAATGAAGTGTTCCTTTTTTGGTTTATTTCAGATCAATTAAAAAATGTCAGCCGACGTGAGAGCTGGTCGACCTACAGTGCCAACAATTCCTCAATCCAAGAGGCCTACTATTTTAGTCTATCCGACAGGTAAAACCAAATTATCATATAATCCTTGTTTATTTCCCTCGAGATATAAATATATGAAAAATATGAATAACAAGAAAAATAACAAAAAAAAAAAAATAAATGTCATCGTTGTCCATAGGCAATTGATTCCATTAAAATTTCGTATAAATCTCGAACAAATAACAAAAGTTGTTCATTCTTAATCGATATTATTAAAAAAAAAAGGAAATTTGATTTATTATAAATCTCGTATCAATAATAAAAAAATGATTATTTGTATGTTGCATATCTTTTTGTTGAAAATATTTATTTAATATGTTCTTGAAGATGAGAAGAGGGTTTCTATATATATGCATATATAAATATATATTAATATTAAATATTTAATTAATTATTATTTATTATTTTTATTTAATAATTAATTATTTTTATTTTTATTATTTTATATATTATTATATAAATATATAATAATATTATAATATATAATATGCAATAATAAATATATTATATATATTTTATAATTTATTTTTATTATTTTATATATTATTACATAAATATATAATAATATTATAATATATTATATTATTATATAAATATATTATATATATTTTATAATCTTTTTTTATTATTTTATTAATTATTTAATTAATTATTAATATTAATATATAAAAATAAAAATAATATATATCTATATATATATATGTATATCGTGAAAAGCTGGCCTCGTTAATAGGGGCTACGTGTTAGGCTTCAGATATTTCAATAGGGGTTGAATTTGAGAGAAGCTAATTAACCAACGACTTGTTTCTCATGATTTGCAATCTGCGCTACATTCACATTTGTAAATTGAAGTTGTAATGTATATCGGAAGTACCACGGGATTATGCGCACTACTTCGTGTTGATTTTCCTCTCTGTAATTTTATAGGTCTGCCAGTAGCAGTTTTGCTAGTTCGAGTTAAAAAAAAATAAGGAAGAAAAGAGGATGAAGAATAATATATATTCTATATATATATAAACATAAAAAAAAAAAAAAAAAAAAAAGGAAAAGATGAAATAAGAATAGAAAAAAAAAATAGAAAAAAAAAATGATATCGTCTGGGTACTCTAATCTAATTTGTATTTTTTTTCTTTTCTTTCGACTAACTACTACTATTAAACTTTTAAATTTACTTTATGAATAATTAATATCAAATATATACATTTACTTAGAAAGTGTAAAAACATCATTTAAATTAATGAAATGATTTTAATTAAATATCAAGACATTGAGCGTCATGTCAGTCATCGGTGACTGACAATAGATTTTCCGTTTAGGCCACGTCAGTCAGCGATGACTGACACTAAACTTTCCGTTTAGGCCACGTCAGTCATTAATGACTGACGACCAACTGTTTTTTCAATACAAACTAACACCTGTGGCCTAATGAGAATTTCCCTAAGAATTCGCGTGACGCTCAACGTGGTAATTTTTATTTTAAATTTCTTAACGCACAAATGCGCTCATCCTCCTTCCATTCTTCTGACGACCATGATAAAGACTGAAAAGAAACTAACTTCTGCTTTCTACTAGTATCAGTCACCCCTCTTCAAACCCCACTCCTCTGCCAGAGAGTCGGTGAACTCATAGCACAGACCATGTACACGCGCGCGCGCATAGCATTCCAACGGTTAGTTTCATTTCGAACCACTAGATGGCGTTTCATTCTCGATAGTAAATGGAGTCCCATTCGTGTATAAGTTCTACCTCGAAAGCTGGAATCTTCACTCTGGTTTCCCTTCAATTCACGTATAAATCTTTCGCCTTTTACTAAAGATTTCCGTGGAGGGGAACAATTGATGAGTCTATAACCAAATTTTTCAACGACCCGACGGAAGTTGGGTCTATAAACGAATTGAAACAAAATTTTTCAGCTACCTTCTTCTCCTAGTAACAATTTTATAAATTGTTTACTCGTAGAAGACACTTCTCCTTCTTTTTCCTGCATCTGAAAAAGCTTACAAACTTCAAATAAGTTAGTTATTCAGATTTTTACTGGTTCTATAATATTAATAAATATTAACTAGTAAAGTATATATTCAGGTATTTATTAGTCTTAATAATATAAATAAATGTTTACGTTGCACTGACTTTTATGGTCATGTCCGAAGATAGTTGTTCACGAATTAGAATCATGTAAACTAATTTTTTAAGGTATGGTTAATAAAATTATTGGGTTAAATCAAAAAATCCCTCACCCTTCTGCCCCTAAACAATCAATTCCGTTAAAATGGACTTTCTAAGTGTGAATAATAAGAGATGATTGTATACTTTCTTACATATTTTATGAAAAGGTTCAACACTTGTAATTTCAATCCTGTTTTTACAGTTACACCAGAAAGTATAATAATCCCTATTGTATCCTGTATACTTGGGTTTCCTTTACTGGCCCTAATGGTAATCTGCTGCCTAAGAAGAAGAGCCAAATTGGCAAGAGAACGAGCAAGAAGAAGAAATTGTGATTTGGACCATGGTGCACTTAGCTTAGTTCGTTTTAGTCCTGTTCATCGTTTAGGTAAGTTGTCTCTGTGAAATGAAAAGAAGATCGGATGAATTTTAATTAAAATCAGTGGTTATAACCCCAACCTTATTTTTTGCAAAAAATTAAATTTCTCCAATCTTATTTTCCTTTTACAATATACGCATACTGTAATAGTTGTTGTGTTAAATGTTGTATTTGGTAGAGAATGAAAAAAATGAATTTTTCTTTTTTTAAAAATAAACCTTGTTATTATTTTTTCTTTTACTACGTTTGACAGAAAATGTTTCATTTTTGTCCTCTTGTTAAATATTTGTTTCAAATATTACATACATACACAAAATGAATAAAAAGAAATTTGTACTTTGTTCTTTAATACGTGCTGGGAACATTCCAACTTAATAAAAAAGAAAAAATCCTTTTTGTTATTTCGCATCTCATCGAATACACACAGCATCCGAAGAGGACTTAGGTAAAATCTCTTTAAACGATTTGTATTTTATATAAAAAAAAAAAAGCTTGAATGAAGAATTCTAGCGAGTTTTCTTTTTTGTTTTTGTTTTTTTTTATTCGGTAATAGTTATATTTTCTTATTTATAAAAACGCTCGTTTATCTTTACAATGCTAAACGCGCGAGCGCAAACAACGCTGCCTTTTTTATGCTGCTAGCTACATAGTTACATTTGGAATTTTAATTTAAATTTCATCGAGAAATAACGAATATGAGATTAACGCGTTTTTCCTGTATATATATATGTGTGTGTGTGTATGTGTGTGTATTATTCTTTTCTTTTTTGTTTGTTTTTTAATCATTTTTTAAACATCGCATGAAAAATGGTGATAGAAATACGCTTCCATACTAATTACAGTTGTTGCTTGACAAATGGAAATATATTGGGTGACCCGAAAGTTCCTGACTAATTAAAATCAATTATTTTCTTGTTACAGACTCTTTGATTCAAATTCGTTTTTTCTTCGGATTGTTTAACACTAAATATATCAGACCAGCCATTTTGATTCAAAATGTCTACTTCATGTAACATTTGAATTCTGTAAATAATTAAGCGTTTTGTTATTGAAAAATGTCTATAGATCTATTAAAATTATTATTGTTAAACATTTTTTGTTATTTTTTAAGAGTAAATAAAGACTGGAAGCCTTAAAAAGCATTTTTTTTATACACCAGTCATTTTGACTAGTGTGGTAAAAATAAGTATACTGAAAATGGTGGTATGTCTAGTGTTAAATTATTAAAAGTAGATCTCTAGAAACTTTTTAACAATCCGAAGAAAAAGTTAATCTCTATAAATTTATTATATTAACTAATAATAATAATATTAACGATGAAAATACTTTTATCAGCAGAGTTTAGCAAAAGTTTTACGAAGCAACTTTTTTTTATTTGCGCTCTTTCTCTCTAATTTTATTTATTTTTAACAAATATGCGCAAAATTGAGAAACGTAAAATTCGTAGAAAATATATTTGCAATAAGTAGTATAAATAAATATTATGCATGCGCAAATTATTAATGAGTGTAGAAAAAGAAAATATTCATTTGAAAATTATTAAATATAATTCTAATGATTTTTTTAACAAATCAATTTTTTATAATTTAAGCATATAAAATTAATACCATCATGGCGGATCGATCGCTAGACAATGTAACATTTTTAAAAATCTTTCATTTATAATTAAATAATAAATATAAATTCATTTAAAATTAAATCTAAATTATATAAAATAAAATATTAATGAATCATTTATAATTAAAAAACACAATTTACATAGTGATTATTTTTAATAAAAAAAATGTCTAGGTGCCTGTTAGAATTTATTTGACAAAATTTATGATAATTTTATGAATTTTCTTTAGCTGGAGTTGATCGTCCAACGAGAACCGTGTCATTGAAAAGTGATCGAGGATCAAGAGCATTTCCATCCTTAGAATTGGATACCGTAGTCGAGGAACGATCTGATCCTGAACAAAGCACTGCATTGGAATTGAGTAGTCCTGACTAGCATACAATATTGGCACCACCGAGGTTATATTTTTTTTTTTTATAATATTTTCACTCTACATATTTAATAATAATTAAACAATTTAATATCGTCTTAATTTGATGTGATACAATTCAATATTTTTATATTATTATTAATTGAAAAAAAAAAAATACAAATATAAAAATAATTTTGGCTCGAACAAAATGTACGCCATCTATTGACATAGAACGAGAATTCGAGCCCAGCGATTGGTTCGTGCTTACCCAATCAGATACATCATTTATCAAAGTAAGAATTACCGCGAATTATGATTAATTTTGAATCGATCAAATTTGACAAAATTTCATTTATTTCTTCGTATCAATAAATTTAAATATTTAACCCTTAAAGTGCACATGGGGTGTTTGACACCCCAACAAATTTTTGATCTCTCGAAAATGGTACTGAATTCGAAAAAATGGGTTATTTGTCGCCATCTAGTGTTAATTCAGATGGGTATATAAAACCTATTCTATTTTTAAAAAATTGCGAGGTCTAAATATTAAATAGCGGCTTCAGGAGACACGTTCAAAAACGTTGGGGTGTCAAACACCCACAGTGCACTTTAACGTAATTTTAAAGAGTGTGCACTTAAAATGGTTAAAGTATTTTTTCTTTTGTTAATATTAAAATAAATAATTCAAATGATATGATATTTAATTTTAATTGACAATAATATAATAAATATTTATTCATAAAATATATATTTTATTTGTTTATAGATCTCCTAGATCATCCAAATCTTTAGCGGTGCCTGTAGATCATAGCCCATTGTGGACAGCTTTGACTCAAGCCAATACGGTATCCTCAAACTTTGGGGATACCTAGCAGGAAATTGAAGACGAGGGAAGTTACATCCAAGCTCTCGTCCTTGATCTGCCAATTATTTATTAAACTACGCTTATATCCACGATGGGAGACATTTTTCTCAAAAATATTCAACTAGAACATTTCAACGAGACACTTTTTCATAATTGGAAGTGTATTTTAAATTGTAGAATAGTAATAATAATAATAAAAATGAAAAGAAAAATGGATATAAAATATAATTGTAAGATTTATAAATAAGCTTTGCATATGAAAAAAAAAATATATATATATATAGGACATTAAATTTTATACAGAAACGATCACCTATTCCTGATGTATCGAAACTAAACGTAAAGCTTTTTACATGTTAGTAATAATAATTAATTTAATATACATAGAAATATTTACTATAGATATTGTTTAATGTGTAAATATAACTTTGCTATAATATAGTACATAAAAGGTGAAGTTATATAAATAAAAAAAAAGAAACAAAAGGATTATGATTAAAGTCTGTATAAAGAAATCAAATGATATTTGTTTCAATTTCCTTATCATTCTTTAATTTACAGTTTATTTCAATAATTGAATTTTTATCAAGGAAGATCATAAAAAAATATGAATATTGAGTCTTTGTCTTTAAAAATATTCACATACAAATAATATCATCGAAAAAAAAAAATAATTGGTACATAAATATTAATGTATTGATGGTCAGTATTTGAAAAAAAAACTATTTATATAAGAGCACTTTTTAAAAACAATATAAATTCCTTTAGTATTTCCTATAAATGCATATATATATAAGTGTTATATTACATTGATTTGAAACGCATTTTGATAATAAAAAAAAAAAAAATCTTTTCACATTGAATTGTCTAATGATAAGTTTAAAAAATTATACCTAAAACCCTGGTATAATCCTTCCTTTTTTAGAAGCTTTTTTAAGTTTATTCGTCTTCTTCTCTCTTTTCCTTTTAGTAATATTTTCCTGTCTTTTATCTTGTCTTTCTTGTTTAAATTTCTGTACAGATTCTAATCTGGATTCCCATTTCTTGGAACTCTTCTTTTTTTGAAGTTCTTGTCGTTTAATTGTGCGTTTCAGTAATTCAGGATCATCCTTAACCTATTATATATATTTAATAATATTTTATTATATATAATATATTATATATAATAAATATTTACATACAATAAATAAATATATATATAATTATTCTTAACTTATTATATTATATATACAATAATATTTTCATATTAATTACATGTTTTTAATATACTCTATCCATACTCTATTTTCATGCTAAAACATTCATTTAACACATTGATGACGATATTCTACGATAAGAATAATTGTTTCTTATTATTCATGTATAAATACATTCATTGCGTTCTACGGTAACATATTTACATATCATTGCTTTAAATACATTGATAAGCGTATATTGCAAGCTAGCAAAATATATTCTTTTTTCCTATAGATTAAATAGTGGTTTTAGTTTTATACATAAAAGTTTATGTAAAACGAATAACCACTTTTTCATCAACAATGTGTTATAATAAGAAAAATAAGTATTACTAACTTTTTCTCCATTAGCCCTTGCAAGTGCAGTTTTCCAAGCTTCTTTTTCTTTTATTTCTTCAACTTTGTCCTTCTCACCGGACTGTTCTAATTCCTTCAATTTTTCCTTTTTCTGTTGCAACTGTTGAAGAATTTTCTTTGGATCTTTCTCACTTTTTAAGGATTTCTGTTTTGTACCAATCTCTGAGAAATCAAATTTACTAAAGACCATCTTACCCTCTGAGTTAAATACAGGTTTAGGTTTATGAATTTTGGACACTCCATTAGTTTCAAAATTAAAACTTTTTGAACCAGCAGCCTGCTGTTCTGTTCTTACTAACTTTTTTTGCATTAAACGTTCCTCTCTTTTGGTTTTCTTTTTAATTTTATTCTTTAAAGTTTTCTTCAAAAGCTTCTGTTTGTATCCCAATTTTTTCACATTTTTTAATTCTTCTAATTTTGCCTGCAATTCTTCAAAAGTCTGTGCACGTGTTGTTGTTTTACCTGGAACTGTAAATATTTTCAATGCAAATATGAAAAAAGATTAATATTATTTGAAAGTAATAAAAGTTAATATAAATAATAAAAACCCCATGTTTTATTGCTGTCTTTTTCTTCCTCGTTTTTATCTTCATCTTGATTTGCTGTAATAAAAGAAAACATATTAAAACATAATAATAGAGAACATTAGAATATACATACATGCTGCACTTTTTAGGTTAAATTCTTTAAAAGATATTCTTACCTAATTCATACATAGGTATAGGTATTTTTGAATATATGTTTGAAAGAAATTGATTTTCTTCTTGAAGTAATTCCTTTACTAATTTTACATTAAAAGCTTTAGCCATTTTTAATTGCATATTGTATAAACTCACGTGTAAACCTTAATGTTATAACAAAAGTAAAATACAAACTGCTGCACTCACGTTCCAAAAATATCAAATACGTACGCAGCGCCGCCATGCGTACGTTAGGGACATTATTCGAAAAGAACACGTGCAATGTTTTCTAAATTCTTCTGCATATTGATATGTGATTATTAACCTATAATTAAGCTTATATAATTAAATATATTTATTTATTTTCATTATACTGTAAATTGTGCATAAATTTTATAACAAATTATTTGAATTGATTTTATTGTTTGCATAATATATATATATAGTTCTTAAATTGAAATACTTTTTACAATGTTACAAACTTTACATAGTTTTATTAGTATTGATAAAGTAGATTTCATTTATTTATCAGTGGTTTCTTAATACAATAAAACTTTTACTAGATAAAACAAACCCATCGTAGATTTTGTAATAACCTAAAACTTGTTGTGATGTTTTAAAATAAACATAACAGTATTTTATATCTTTGTCCATTGATATTCTTACTAATAACACTGCTATTGGTTTATAGTCTTCAAAGAGATGTTGTAAGGATACAAAATCTTCATGTGCATTGGCAAGAATTATACTTTCAACAGGAATAATTTTAGAATTATTTGAATTATTGTTTAGCGAATAGATAAGATTAGGAAACCAAGTAGTCTCATCATACATAGTTACATGTTAACTATTTAAACTATCCATGCCATATTTTTGAAACATTTTTATACACTCTAAAGTTACTTTCAATTTTATATTTTACAAGATATACATCATAAATATTATTAGATTTGTTTATTCTAAGTACATTTCCAAATCAGATGAATATATTTCTCATTAGGCTGATACTCAACTTATGTGGATTAAGAAATTGTACAATAAATAATTGCTGACTGGAATAAAATTGATGAATATCCATTATCATAAATAAAAATTCATTGTTAATTGCCAAGAAATGAACAAATTATTAAGGAAGAATTGTAATGCAATATTAATACATCTAACATAAATGCTAATATTTTGACCAGTTTATTTTTTCATTCATCTCTTACAATAACAAACTAACAAATATTTTATCTAATAAAACTGCAATGTTTTTTTCTCATCACTCTTGATTATTCATTATTATTAAACTTGATTAATTGAAAATAACATTAAAAAGATAAATCTACATTATACATAAACAATAATTAGTTTATTGAATGAATGAAATGTGTTTTCAAAAAATTACATTTAAAAATGAATTACTTTCTATCATTGTCTATATAATGTTAATGTAAAGATTTCTTATTTTTAAGAAAATGATGAGCTATATTTAAGAAATAAAAGAAAGAAAAAAATATTAACTTTCCTAGTTCTACTGTATTAAATTCAATAAAAATTTAATTCAAGATAAAGAAAAATTTAATTAAGATAAAGAAGCTTTGTCATCAAGAATGTTTACTTCTACAATATTTAAAATATATACATTGATTGTTAATTATTAACAATATAAATATCGTCTAATTTCTAAGCACGTGCTTGATCTAAAATGTATTTACATAATTTTTCTATTTTTAATTAAATGCATTTAACCTTATCGTGTGAGAATCCAGTCAGCAGTTTAAATCCATTTCAAAATTGAAATGTTTCCCGCCATCTCGTAATGGCGGCTGACGAGAAGTAAAATAGTAAGGTTGAAGAAAGTAGCGTGGGCAGTAGTTAACAAAACCGATCGGTGTAGTTTTTAATCGTAAGTGTCGAATTTTTCGTTATCTAATAATTTTGTCTTCATATTCTTCCTTTTCTTCTTTTTTTTATCCTCCATATTAACGAAGTCACATGAATTGAGAGGGAGAGAGAAAAAAATATAGTTGGAGATAGACAAAACTTTTTTCGTCATAGTTACCTGTTTACCTTTTTCTCCCACAAGACGAAAGAACGAAGAATAGTAAAAGATAAAAGAAAGAAGAAGAAGAAAAAGAAGGATGACGAGAAGAAGGGAAGGCGTCGACTTTGCGTCGTAAATAAAGAAGGTGCGCGGTAAAGCAACATACACAAAGAGAGAGAGAGAGAGAGAGAGAGAGAGAGAAAGAGATAGAAAGTATGCGTGAGTGAGAGAGTAAGAAAGAAGAAACACGCGCGTGTGCAAGAAGGAAAGTCGACGAGGTTGTCGCTAGTGTGCAAGAGGGTGATTGGTCAGTGATCGGCTATTATGGCCGGCGATTGGCGCGTGCGGACATAGCGCAAAGTAGGAGCGCGTAAGAATAAGTAAGTAAGGTCGAGGCGAGTGTGCGCGGCAGTCACTCGCGGACTAGAAGAGTGTAAAGAGCGAGGAGAGGAGAAGAGAAGAGACGTTCGTTCGTTCGCTCGCTCGCTCGCTCCTAAGTTCGTTCGTTTGTTCACATTTTTTCGTTGCTTGATCTCTGATCGGTGCCGCGTTGCCTTGTAAGGCGGAGAGTTGGTGTGGTACGCGCGTGGACATAAAATAGTGTGTGTATATGTGTAAATCGTGTGCGTGTGTAAGAAGTGTAAAGTCGCGTCCAAACGCTTACCGGATGTTCTAAAGACGACAACAACGACGACAACGACGAAGACGAAGAAAACGAAGACGACTACGTTGAAAAGAGAAAGGAAGAAGACGGAGACGAAGAAGACAACGGTGACTATTTTGCGAGGATACGAAAGCACGAGGACGATAAAAAGGAAAAGGAAGAAAAGAATACGGAGGACGATTGCTGCCGCCGTCGCCGAGGAGGGCGCGCACGGTTTTATCCTCTCGTGGCGCAGCATTAGTGCTCCGATAGTAATAGTGTAGTACTAATAATACTAGTAGTAGTAGTAGTAGTCAAAATAATAATAACAATAGTGATAGAGGTAGTGGGAGGATATAAAAACAGGAAAATAAAATAAAAGTGCATAGTGTGTTGAAGAAGTGGCATGCATGTTGCCTCCTAGACTGCTGCTTTGAAGGTTTGAGAGAAACACAACTACGCTGCTTATTACAGGGAAGAAGACGGTGTGTGTTAAGTGACGGAGGTGCAAGAAAGAAAGAAAGAAAGAAAGAAAGAAAGATAGATAGATTTACTCGTTTGAAAAATTAATAGAAGTAGCAGATAATAATACGAAAAACAGATACGAGGAAACGAGTAAAAATTGTCAAACGTTAGTACGCAGAGGAGACAAAGGCCACGGTAGCGGCGGTGGCGGCAACAGCATCGACGACGACGACGACGACGACGACGACGACGGTGATAGGATTGTGGTGGTGGTAGCGGCGGCGGCAGCAGCATAACCTCCAAGTACCGACGAACCTGAGCTTCGTGTCGCGCGCGCGTCACGAAAATATTCCCCCCTCTCCTCTTGATCCTCCTTCTTCTCCTTCCCCTTCCTCCTTCTTTCCGTTCGTTGCGTTTTTCGACGACGGCGAGTAACGTTGTTCGTCCGTAAGGTAATACCGTGAATAATAACGTTTACATCTCTCAAAGGTATACGAAGTATATATATATATACATATATATATATATAAATATATACACATATAAACATATATAAAAAGAAAACAAATAATAACTTTTTGCCTATATTGTATCCCGAACACTTTTGGGCTTCCATAACGGCAAACGCGTGCGAGTGAGAAAGAGTTCAAGAAAACACGTGTTCCGAACGCAGCTCGTTTTTATTCTTCGATTGAAAATTAAAAAGAATTTGAAGAATAAGTACTCGCGTGTATACAAATCCGCGTCCCGGTTATAATATTATCATCAGTGCTTGGCGAAACAGTTAATGGATGAAACTGGCAGGATGTTGCAACACGGAGGATCGGGTGTTGGTTTGATGGGAGCTAACCAAGCTCAAGGGGCCCAAAATACCACAGGCTACGGCACCATGGGACCCGTCGATGGATCCGCCGCTCAGGGTCCCGACCAAGCCGTCGAGGCTAGAAAACAGGATATCGGCGAGATCTTACAACAGATCATGAACATCACCGACCAAAGTCTCGACGAGGCTCAAGCAAGGTGAATAACCGTTTTTAATCCTCTTATTCAAAATCGTGTATCAAATTCTAGACTTCAAATATTTGTAGGAATTGTATTTATCATATTTTGAGATTGAAGAGAAGGATTTCATTTTACGATACGATTAGATCCTCTTTTTAATATTTAATTATTTATATATTATACCTTTGATGATTTAAAACGCTGATTGGTAGAACACGCTCGAAAGCATACGATAAGAGAGTCTCTTTATCTGCGAATTAATATTTGCTTATAATCGCTAACGTCACGATCCTCGTGTGCAGCGAATAATAATCCCTCAGTATAAACGATTCTACTACGATGATCATGTTCATTCTTTATGTATATGTGTATGTTTTATATTTATCTCATTTGTTTGTTACAGGAAACACACACTTAATTGCCACAGAATGAAACCTGCCCTGTTCTCGGTACTCTGCGAGATCAAAGAAAAAACAGGTAAGAGAAACAACGTTATATCTTTCACTGTTTTATTCATCAATGTTCCTTCAGTATACTTTTTCTTTTTCTTTCTTGTATTACGTTACAATATCTGGATATTTTTATTAATTTTTAATAAACAAGAATACATTAGTTTACGATAATAAAAAGGAAATGTTGTACTAATCGTAATTTGATGGAATACAATTTTTTGTTTTTGTTATTTCTCGTTGAATAATTATCGTTATGACGGTCAACAGATGTTTTAATATATGCTGTTACCTGACTGCACATATACATGTACAAATCGGTTTTTTTACAGGCTTTGCGATAACGTTTATGACAAGTTTGCTAATTATTCAATCGAATACACGATTTAATTTATTCAATATTTTTCTAATCGCAATTTCATAAATACTAGAAACTTCATAATATAAATTAATATAAATATAATAAAAAAGAACAAAATGGTTGCAGCTATATTTAAATATGATAAAGAGTTGAATGATTTTATTTTTGGATTTATAAACAAACATTTTAGAAAAAAATGAAATATTTCTTGTCTTCTTAACCCTTAAAGTGCACACTTGATAAAAGTTAGTTAAAGTGCACTGTGGGTGTTTGACACCCCAACGTGTTTGAATGCATCTCCTGAAGCCGCTATTTAATATTTAGACCTCGCAATTTTTTTAAAGGTAGTTTGATACATCTTTTTTAAAATAGAATAGGTTTTATATATACCCATCTGAATTAACACTAGATGGCGACAAATAACCCATTTTTTCGAATTCAGTACCGTTTTCGAAAGATCAAAAATTTGTTGGGGTGTCAAACACCCCATGTGCACTTTAAGAGTTAAAAATATTTGTGAATGATTAACCCTTTGAGTGCTGAATACTTTTAACTAAAATGTTTTATAGGAACGGAATAATTTATTATTAACACTAGATATACCAGATCAGTCATTTTGACTAGTGTGGTAGAAATAGGTGTACTGAAAATGGTGGTATATCTAGTGTTAACTAGATTCTAGTAATAAAGTTTTTGTTTTTGAATATAATTTAATTAATTAATATAAAAATTACATTATATTTTACATTAATATTAACAAACACGCGTATATGCGTCCATAGCACTCTAAGGGTTAACCTGTTAACCGGGGAATTTTCTTTTTAATTACACACCTTTTTTGTTTATTATTTATTATTATTATTTATGCTTAAAACAAATGAAAAGACTATGAAATATATATTTTTTCATTTATATATATTTAAAGTACGTAAAATACGCTACACGTATTTATACGTCCCACCCGGTTAATAGGTTAAGTATTTACATTGATTTCATTTTTGAGAGAGTGTGTATAGCATCAACGATTATATTAGGTGTCCTAAAAGTTTCTTCTTCTTTTTTTTTTAGTAATTCTACGAGCACAATATTTTTTAGGTCGAATAATTTAAAGTATAGAATAAGATAAAATAGAGTAGAATCGATATTATTAATTAATACTAAATATACCACCATTTTTAGTATACCTATTTCTACCACGCTAGTCAAAATGAATGATGTATAGTATAAAAAACAATGCTTTTCGAAGCTTCCAGTCTTTATTTACTCTTAAAAAATAACAAAAAATGTTTAACAATAATAATTTTAATAGATAATTGGATTTATAGAGATTTTTAAATAACAAAACGCTTAATTATTTACAAAAATCAAATGTTACATGAAGTAGACATTTTGAATTAAAATGGCCCGACCAATCCAAATGAATGGTCTGGTATATTTAGTGTTAATAAAATAACGTAAAATACAACAAAAGTATATAATTAATTTACGCATGCAATATTGTTGCAATTAAGTATATAATTATAAATTATAAACGCATACAATATTATTTAACTTATTAAAAAAAGGAAGAAATTTTTGGGACGAACTAATATTTATTTTTTAGGTTATAAAATCGATTGTATCAACTCGACCATAGTTTATTTTTCGTGTTGTATTTTCAAACAAGAAAATCTGTGCACGGGTTAATAAGAAAAATGATGTTCATGCAACTGGTATTAACGGGATTTACTTTGTCGCATATTTACTGAGGAACATTGACGATAACGTGATTATCGTTTTACTGTCTCGATCTTTTTCGAAAAGATCTGGGGTGATTCTCCAAGAGAAAGAAAGAGAGAGAGAGAAAGAGAGAGAAATAAAAAGATCCCTTATCTCGAGAAAAGGAATACGTCGTTTGGACCCCTTCCCTATTCTCTCTTTCTCTGTCTTTCTTTCTAGTTGCACCCTTACGACTAAGCAACCAACCCCTGCGCGCACCCATTCGAAACTCGTAAACATAATTTTTATGCGATGTTTGGATTACTTTTACGCGCGGATCAAGAGACCACGAAACGCGCAATTATTTTTCGACCGTTCTGCGGGTGTGCTGGAAATGAACGAAATAGAAGGGGAGGGTTTGTTTCTCCCTTTCGTTCTACGAACCTTTTACCAATAGGGTGGAACTACCATATCGTCATATTTTATATTTCTATTTCTTTCTTTTATTATTTTTATACACTACATAAGTATGTGTTGAATATCGTAGTTAAAGAATTAAAATTCTAGGGGGTACAAACGACCCTACGTTTTGTCTCTTTCTCTCAAGTGGATATTTTCTTGACAATTATATGCTTTGAAGGAAAGATACGTGGAAAAATGTGTTTGCTCGCACACATGCTTGTATATATATGTGTGTGTGTGTCACTGTAGAGTCAAGTAAGCTAGAAAAGTGGTATGGTAAAGATAGATAGAGAGAGAGAGAGAGAGAGAGTTGGAAAATGTAGTGGGAGGTTGAGAGAGAATATGGTGGGAGAAGAAAGAGAGAGAAGAAGCCCTGGTAGTGGTGGTGGGTGGCTTGCTTGCGGAGTTTATGGGCAATGCCTGACGAGGCAGTGAAAAAGTACTAAAACCAAGAGGAACAGATAAACGCTATGTTAAGCAGACCGTTTTACCAGCCATTTAATATAATCGGCTTTCTCGCGAAGCCTTGGATAACTTTGGATCAGGGCCGTACGAATTTCGATCTTATTTCTTCTGTTTTTTTTTTTTTTTATGATTTTCTATTAGAATTTTTGTTCGATCGAGTTAACGTCGATATTTATTTGACTTATTGAACGACAACGACTCTCGACAACGAGTGGTCTCGATTTGTCACGGTCGAGTTGCTTCGAGTTTCTTCGTTTGACACTACCCACTGATCTTTTCTTTCGTCCGAACGGATAGAAGAAGAAGAAGAAGAAGAAGAAAAAAAAAAAGAGAGAAAAGGCGTTTTGGATAAAACCCTCTTTTCGTTTCGTCTCGATTTCCCGTGGGAGAAGGACCACGATAGAAAGATACTCCCCTTCGAAATCCATGGGATTTTCTTTTGGTCTAACTTCTAATCCCTTTCTTTCTTTCTCTCTCTCTCAACTTTGATACTCTTACTTTAGTATGAACTTTTTTTTCCTTTTATTTTTTTCGTTGAAACGTCCCCCAAAGTTCACAAGTTCACACTTTACGCCTCGATGCTCTTTGATCTCGATTAAAAGAAATTAATTGTTTAAATATGAAGAAGAAATGAGAAAGAGAGTTTTCATGTTAACACATAAACACAAACATGGAATTCGATTTGTTAAAAAGCACAAAAAAAAACAAATAAGTTAACTTCACCGATTTTGTGGCTTTAAAACAATGTTAACGTGGTTGAGTACCGGTGCAACAATTAAAAATCCATACTCGATTTGGACTACGGCCAACTTTAATTCTATTTCGTTGTAATACGCGTACACGATTTCACTTTTTGTCCCTTTACTCGTTGACACTTTTCTTGTTTCCTTTTTTAAAGAAAAATAAGCAATCTACGAGGTCATCGAACTTGATTCCGATTTCTTCGATGAATAAATTGAAAATCAATCGATCGATCGATCGATCAGTAAGGACATTTAACGAGCTAATTGGACGGGTTACTGGTTTTAATTAGAACCAATCAGACGATCTTGTTGTATTATTATTCCAACCTTTCTCAATTCATTCGAATGATTTTTGTTTCGTTTATTCCTTAGTAAAAGGTGTTATGTGTAGGTAGAAAAGAAAAGGATAGGTGAACGAACAAGGTTCTGATCCTTTTCGAGGATCCTTTCAAGAGAGAACTTCTCGTGTTGCTGGACCAAACTGAACAACAAAAAGAGAACTTCCTTTCGCATTCCTTTACGTATCTTATTCGTTTTTGTGATTTTGTTCTCTTTGCGGCACAACTTTCCCTCTTGGCGGCTCCCTAAGGGCTTTGACGGTCCTTGGGCCCTACTATATATATATATATATATATACATACATACTCTCTTACATCGATATATTGTTGGGGAGATCATTATTTGCATTCTTTACGACCATTTCTCTTCTTTCTTCTTTTTTTGTTGTTGTTGTTTTTTTTCTCACCTTTTTCTCACGTTGATGTCATTTGAAAAATACCAAAAAGTATTCCTTGTAACCTATTTTGTGTAACGAACGTTTCGATTAAATACTTTGTAATAATAATAATAATAACAGTAAAATTGTACATCGTTTAGTTACATTAACTTTAGTTGCCAATTTTTGTATTTTTTATTTTCATTAATCGTTTCCTACGTTTTAAACATCTGGTTCCATTTGCTGATAAAATGCGTGCTTGTACAAGCTAACTATAAAGTTACTAGACAATTTAAAAATATAATAAACCCCATTTATTTATTAACAATCAACGCGTATTATTTTACAAAGAATAAATATATTAATTAAAAATAATTTTGAATGAATTTTGTAGAATTTGTAATTTGGGTCCACCATTTTGTTCATCATTTCATCTCGTAATGGTCTAATGTCTAGTAATTTTTGGGCCACTCTGTAGAGAAAAATAAATGTTCAATTTGAATGAATTTTATATAATTTGTAATTTGGATCCACCATTTTGTTCATCATCTCATCTCATAATGGTCTAGTGATTTTTGGGCTAC